TTGAATTTCCAACTGTTGATATCGTGATTATATAAAAGTCCTTTTCCATAAACACCCAGTTCCTTTAAGCCTTCTTGTTCCGGAACTCTCGTCAAATATGGACTTTTAGTCGAAGGGGATAAAAGTTTATTCACATATTCTGGCTTAGTGACGAATATGGTACGACGGTTCCCACTCCATAATTCAAAAACGTCTCCATATTTGGATTGCAATTGATGACACTGTTTGCAAAAATCACTACCAGCCGCGATATAATAAAAGAGATGACCGACGAACGGTAGTGGAAAGGGTGCGGGTAAAGGATTTTTTCTCGTGTAATATTTGTAATAATAGTTAGCTATGCTTACGATAAGTAATGTTAAACTTAGCATAAACAAATCGTGAAATCCGAAAGAGAATTTAAAAATTTCCATATTTTAGATGTGTCTTGGTGCACACACTAATTCGGTACGCTTATATACTGTAAGTACCATTCGTTGGAAGGGATACCAGTTGATCGATCATATAAAATTTTAGGTTCGATGATCATTTAACTACGTTTGGCCAAGGAATGCAAAAAATTGTGCACGCTGTTTTCTATGAGCAAAAAAGAGTACAGTGGTGGACCTTTTTAAAATCAACTGCCGTTTCCTACTTCTGACCGATTACGGCATTCCGTCAATTCTTTTCGGTGAATGGCCAAGTTCTAAAACTTCGTACATTCTAAATACCCAAATTCGTTCATTATTTTTAACTCGTAAATCAAACTCAATGAATGTTCGCGTAAAGTTATTAATTTCAAATTTACTTAATATGAGGACACGCTGTAAATCAATTACGTATTCATTTTTACATAAAATATTATTTACGTAATAATAATTCTATGATCATTGATGGGGTTTTCACTGGTAATACGCATACTGTATACAATTCTATGATCATTGATGGGGTTTTCACTGGTAATATACTGTATACGTATGGCAAGAATCTACATGGAAATTTAATACACAGTAAGTAATACAAGCACGTAATACGTACATGATTTTTTGTTAGTATAACCAACTGTATATCGCGCGTATAAGTTATAATAATCATTGTGAAAATAATATGCTATTACAGCCATCAAAACGTTCAGAAATTTAGAATAGTAGATCTCAAGAAATCGTGGCTTGTGTTGAAGCTTGTCAAAAGGTGGCAAGGATCGTGCTTCGAATGGTTGGTTTGGTTACGCGAGTCAAAAAAGAAACAATGCTGTTAACTTGCTACAATATTATAGATTCTTGTTGCACCGAATAATTTAAGCCTCAAGTTTTACTTTTCTAAAAGACAAGTAAGTGTGCTCAAAGGGTTTTCTTCTTTTATCGAGAGTACGCAAGTAAAAAATGCTATACACTGTACGTCATGTGTAAGATTGCATGAAAAACATATTCATTGTATTTGAAAAACATACTATTAACTCAATTGCTCAAGTCTCTATGTACAAGTGAATTACGTGATGAAAACCCTATTTAATATGACTATGTTCCAATTCAACTCCAAAAGTGTTAACCTGCATGTCAAGAACCGATTTTTCTCCAAGATCGACATTCTTGTCAACTTGCAGGGTAAAAGGTTGATCTGTGCAAAATGAATTACTAATATTTCTTGGTTTGAACAGTTTGGGTATTTCCAATCCAAATTCGGTCATCACGAATAATGTTAAGGCGCAGCTGAATAACTCGGCATATGTGTACTGGGGTAAACGCGGATTTAAAAGGATGAGTATTCGATATACGCTCATTGCTATTAGTATTGTCAAGTCCAAAGTGAATAAGCACATCTGATAACTACGATATTTTAATATCTGACGATTGATCAAGTCTGTTGAGTGGATTTTTTTAAGTGTCTTAAATAATTTGACATAGAAAATAGCTTCGGATGTGATATAGTATGCACGGAATATGGGGGCCAAGGAATTCTGTATGTTTACGAGTAATCCTAATGGGGCGCAAACAAAGTTCGGCCCTGTTTTGTTGCATGTAATACTATCATAAATGTAACCGACAAATACGATAAACAACTCAACAGCACGAGACGTTATGATAAAGTAGTGAATGGCAGGATATTTTCTATAGATCTCGAACACCGAACGACATCTTAAGAATGCCAAGTAAAGAACAATGGGTTTTGTTATTAAATAAGAGAAACTATTGATGGTATTGTTCCAACGATACCACCTGTTGCCCAGAATATTCGATTCTGAAATGACCATGAAGACGACGGCGAATTCATTCAAGAGCTGTGCCGCATTAGCAATCGGAAAGAGATACATCTTTGAGCCTGTGGTACGCATAATGCTCATTCTTATTATGGAGTGAAAAGAAAGCGCGAAACTTGCTCCCAACAATACCGCACCAATGGTATTCTGAAGGTTATCCGAACTTATGTGATTATCTCCCATCGCCTTATAAAATTTTCCATACTTGTGAATGAGAATTAAAAAAGCAATGCGATGCTGGAGTTTTTATATTTCCTTCGGATCCGATATCCCGTAGACCTT